ATTTAAATAGGCAATTGCTTAAGAGTCAACGATAGGATCATTATTGCAGTGATTATTATGTTTCTAGCATGTTATATGTTTGGCAACAGTTCTTTTAACCCTAATTGATGGAGTGTGTAGATTTTGATAAACTTCAGATTGAGCCACTGTAGTCACTCGGACTATTTTAACGATGTCTTTCATAACTTTTGGGCCGGCCAGTTTCGATCCCTTAAGAAGCCTATGGAGGAGTGATCCAGCTCTCAGATTTAATCAGAAATATCTTAATTTGTGTTCCGAAGATGAACGAAAGTCTTACGGGGTTGAACAACATGAGGGTGAGTAATTACTGACAGAATTTTCATTTTTGGGTGAACTATCCCTTTAAGTAGCTTTTATAAATGTGCCTTGGAAAAAAACAATACTGGTGTGAATCTTGACACAAAACAATAGTACTGATATATGTGAAGATATTTCAGTTAAAACAGCTCAAACATGCATTCTACTCTGAGATATCTTAAGCGTTGCCTGTGAACCCGAGGGAAATGCTGATTGCAGTCTTTTAATGTGTGAATAGTCATTCAAAATATATTGTGTATAAAACAGACCCAAGGGAATAGCAATCAATGTAAGTAGGAAACATGAGACAAATTGTGAAACATGTTATTTTTAGAAGAAAATCAGTGCTTTTAAAAGAGCCATGCCTTTGAACAGAAAATGTAATGGCCCAGGAAAATATTCACAAGATCTGTTGCATCATAAAACACCGGGCAGCCGACACAGTCAGACTCAAGCTGTTGTTGTGACAGATTTCATCAAATCCGCTATAATGTTCCTGTTTGTACTCATCATTTATGCTAAACAGACCCATTCCTATGGCACAGATTTGAATATTGTTGTTTTTATGTTCTTGCACAACATTTAATCTGTATTCCAGATTCTGACTGTTATATAACCATCAATGCAACATTGCACATCATTTTTGTTGTTAAAAGGAATTTACTTTGACAAAGAAAGTTGAACACCTCTTTTGGAACAAATAATAAATACTGTAGGTATTATGGAAATACATCTGTTGGTCATATAAAAGGCTCCTCAAAAAATACCTGATTTCTCTCTGACAATTTGCCACGCCACCTTAGAGGACTGTTACTGTAAACTGAGACAACAATGAGCATCAGAGACTCAACGCCCCAAAACAGGGAATTATTAACAACAACAGACGCCATTTTAAGAATCACCAGGAATACTATTGAGCTAAAATATGAATACTGCATATATTTAATTTGGTTGTGATATGAGAAGATCTGATGTCTGATTAAACTCAATGTACAATCATTTACAGGAAGCAGAGATGATATTTGTTATCTTTTATATAGAAATCTGGGGAGAAATTTGCTCCAATAATAGAAGAGAAAGAAATGTATCCGATGCCCAAAGGTCAGTGATTACTGGAGTGATAAATGGAGGGAGCTCACAGGAACCACTATGAGCAAATTGCCTAAAAATGGGCTCTGGCAGTCTTGACCTTTGTGTGATTGTGTAATTGCTTTGAGAGCTTTATATCATGCTGAATGTAACAAACAGCTTCAGCTTACCAGAATAAGATTTGGTAATATAATGATTAATGATATGATTTTCCCTATGAGTCCAAGGTACAAAGATACAATATTGTAAGATTAAGATGATTATTATGAATCTCTCCAAACATGTCCCTGTCATATCTCACCCATATATATATATATATATACACACACACACATTTACATATACACTCACCTAAAGGATTATTAGGAACACCGTTTGACCCCTTTTCGCCTTCAGAACTGCCTTAATTCTACGTGGCATTGATTCAACAAGGTGCTGAAAGCATTCTTTAGAAATGTTGGCCCATATTGATAGGATAGCATCTTGCAGTTGATGGAGATTTGTGGGATGCACATCCAGGGCACGAAGCTCCCGTTCCACCACATCCCAAAGATGCTCTATTGGGTTGAGATCTGGTGACTGTGGGGGCCATTTTAGTACAGTGAACTCATTGTCATGTTCAAGAAACCAATTTGAAATGATTCGAGCTTTGTGACATGGTGCATTATCCTGCTGGAAGAAGCCATCATAGGATGGATACATGGTGGCCATAAAGGGATGGACATGGTCAGAAACAATGCTCAGGTAGGCCGTGGCATTTAAACGATGCCCAATTGGCACTAAGGGGCCTAAAGTGTGCCAAGAAAACATCCCCCACACCATTACACCACCACCACCACCAGCCTGCACAGTGGTAACAAGGCATGATGGATCCATGTTCTCATTCTGTTTACGCCAAATTCTGGCTCTACCATCTGAATGTCTCAACAGAAATCGAGACTCATCAGACCAGGCAACATTTTTCCAGTCTTCAACTGTCCAATTTTGGTGAGCTCTTGCAAATTGTAGCCTCTTTTTCCTATTTGTAGTGGAGATGAGTGGTACCCGGTGGGGTCTTCTGCTGTTGTAGCCCATCCGCCTCAAGGTTGTGCGTGTTGTGGCTTCACAAATGCTTTGCTGCATACCTCGGTTGTAACGAGTGGTTATTTCAGTCAAAGTTGCTCTTCTATCAGCTTGAATCAGTCGGCCCATTCTCCTCTGACCTCTAGCATCAACAAGGCATTTTCGCCCACAGGACTGCCGCATACTGGATGTTTTCCCCTTTTCACACCATTCTTTGTAAACCCTAGAAATGGTTGTGCGTGAAAATCCCAGTAACTGAGCAGATTGTGAAATACTCAGACCGGCCCGTCTGGCACCAACAACCATGCCACGCTCAAAATTGCTTAAATCACCTTTCTTTCCCATTCTGACATTCAGTTTGGAGTTCAGGAGATTGTCTTGACCAGGACCACACCCCTAAATGCATTGAAGCAACTGCCATGTGATTGGTTGATTAGATAATTGCATTAATGAGAAATTGAACAGGTGTTCCTAATAATACTTTAGGTGAGTGTATATAAACATTTATATACATATATATATATACCTATATATACACCTATACACTCACCGGCCACTTTATTAGGTACACCTGTCCAACTGCTCGTTAACACTTAATTTCTAAGCAGCCAATCACATGGCGGCAACTACGTGCATTTAGGCATGTAGACATGGTCAAGACAATCTCCTGCAGTTCAAACCGAGCATCAGTATGGGGAAGAAAGGTGATTTGAGTGACTTTGAACGTGGCATGATTGTTGGTGCCAGAAGGGCTGGTCTGAGTATTTCAGAAACTGCTAATCTACTGGGATTTTCACGCACAACCATCTCTAGGGTTTACAGAGAATGGTCCGAAAAAGAAAAAACATCCAGTGAGCGGCAGTTCTGTGGGCGGAAATGCCTTGTTGATGCCAGAGGTCAGAGGAGAATGGCCAGACTGGTTCGAGCTGATAGAAGGGCAACAGTGACTGAAATAACCACTCGTTACAACCGAGGTATGCAGCAAAGCATTTGTGAAGCCACAACACGCACAACCTTGAGGCGGATGGGCTACAACAGCAGAAGACTCCACCGGGTACCACTCATCTCCACTACAAATAGGAAAAAGAGGCTACAATTCGCAAGAGCTCACCAAAATTGAACAGTTGAAGACTGGAAAAATGTTGCCTGGTCTGATGAGTCTCGATTTCTGTTGAGACATTCAGATGGTAGAGTCAGAATTTGGCGTAAACAGAATGAGAACATGGAACCATCATGCCTTGTTACCACTGTGCAGGCTGGTGGTGGTGGTGTAATGGTGTGGGGGATGTTTTCCTGGCACACTTTAGGCCCCTTAGTGCCAATTGGGCATCGTTTAAATGCCACGGCCTACCTGAGCATTGTTTCTGACCATGTCCATCCCTTTATGGCCACCATGTACCCAACCTCTGATGGCTACTTCCACCATGTCACAAAGCTCTAATCATTTCAAATTGGTTTCTTGAACATGACAATGAGTTCACTGTACTAAAATGGCCTCCACAGTCACCAGATCTCAACCCAATAGAGCATCTTTGGGATGTGGTGGAACGGGAGATTCGCATCATGGATGTGCAGCCGACAAATCTGCGGCAACTGTGTGATGCCATCATGTCAATATGGACCAAACTCCCTGAGGAATGCTTCCAGCACCTTGTTGAATCTATGCCACGAAGAATTGAGGCAGTTCTGAAGGCAAAAGGGGGTCCAACCCGTTACTAGCATGGGGTACCTAATAAAGTGGCCGGTGAGTGTATATATATATATATATATATATATATATATATATATATATATATATATAAAAACATACAAATTACTTTTTTTTTTTTTAAAGTCACTTCATTGACTTTGCCGTCCTCTGCATTTATGTTAACGGTTCACTCGGCCCTCATCAATAATGAAAGTCTCCACAACACACTGAACATTATTAGTCTGCATAACACTTCAATCACCACCAGTTATTACAGATTTAAAGCCCACTGTGGTCTCCATAAGACGGTGGTTACAACCATAACACAAGGCTATATACAGTAAGAACTTCACTATATGAGCAATTACATTTTATGAGCGTCTTTATTGTTTAAAATACAATTTACAATCCCCTAAAGTTAATCAGAATACATCTCAAACACAGCATCATGTTGTCTTGTCATCATATCATGTAACAGTTGAGTGAGTCTCACACAGAAAGTTTAAGTTCATTAACAATCACAGCTAAACAGGAAGTTATTATTAACATCATCATCTGTGGGGGTGAGAATTAACAGCACACACACCAGTAACATGTTGTATATATACTTACTAATGGCTCAGTTTGGAGTGGAAAGTCTAAAGGTAATGATACACACAAAAATAAACATTTCAAAAGCATGTGTTACAATCACTTTCAGTGAGTATTAGTGTTGTCTATGGAAAAATGAGACATCAATGATGATCGTTTAGAGTGATTTAGAAACCCATATTCCAAAGATACTGAATGAAGAACACCTTAATGTATTTTTCATGAAGAAATGATAGTGACTGGATTGTTAACACAATGCCAATATAATGATACTGTATTAAAACACTTGCTACATTAGGCCAGTGTAGAAGATCTTTAACCGTTTTCCACTCCTCCTTTTACACCATTTTCCAAGGCACAAAATGACAGAACGGAGGCCTCTAGTGGCAAATATGGAGGATAACAATACAGCTTTCAGTATGCAATGCAACATGAAAATGAAGAAACAGGGGGAAAAAAAGAGAATTCAAACAATCTGACATGTGCAAGACTTTTCCCAGTAGTGTCCACATCCCACGGCCTATTTCTCATAGAGATCAAGTGGGTAATGCTCTTTATACTGCTGGACGTGCCGCCACATGGCGTCTTTCTGCTGGGCTATTTGAGGAGTCATCTCATCGTAGACGTCCGTGAACATCAGGTCGGGGTGGGGTTTCAGACGTCTCTCGGCTTTTTCGAAGGCCACCATGACAAGTTTGCGGGACTGCTTCCTCCAGGCGCGCTCCTCGTCCTCGTCCCACCAGCCGCGGGCCGTCATGTAGTGTCGCAGGCGAGAGATGGGGTGGTCCTGCTTGTCCCAGTAGTTCACCTCGTCGACCGAGCGGTACGCAGAGCTGTCGTCACTGGTGCTGTGATGCCCGATCCTGCAGGGGGAAGAGGAAATCATAGGCGTCGCTCATTTCACAACACTAGGGATGCACTGATATTTCAGTAAAAAAATAAAGATAATGGGTCTCATTCATGAAACATTCGTAAATATTCGAGTAAATATGAGAGTGAGAGTTCCCGAAAACTCCTCTCCTGATTTACAAATACTTTGTAAACGTCAGATGTGATAGTGAAATGTGTGTGTGTGTGTTAATGAATTCCAATCAGTCGTAAATGGGATGCATAAATCCCGTACATTAAATCCGACTGACAACTATATATGGGCATCATAATGACACCAAACGAAGGATTTCTTCAACATGTCTTCTCAAAAGCGAATGAAAAAGAAAAATTTCTCAGATGCAGAAATCGAAGTTTTATTATCAGAAGTTCATTCAAAACACCACATTTTATTTTCCAGCTACATAGTGGCGTATCAGGTCCTAAAAAAAGGAAGCTTGGCAGCATATTACAGATGCAGTTAAAGGATTAGTTCACTTTTAAAAAAAACTTTTGCTGATAATTTACTCACCCCCATGTCTATGTCTTTCTTTCTTCAGTCGAAAAGAAATTAAGGTTTTTGATGAAAACATTCCAGGATTTTTCTCCATATAATGCACTTTGCTGGGCACCAAACGGTTCAAGGTCCATAAGACAGTTTCAGTGCAAACTGTTCAAATGGCTTTAAACGACACCAGACGATGAATAAGGGTCTTATCAAGCGAAACGATCGCTCATTTAAAAAAGAAATAACAAAGTTTAAGTTTTATAAGCTCAAATGCTCGCCTTGCTCTGTTCTGTGTGACTCTCCTGTTCGAACTCGTTCATCAAAATGAACGAATCTTTTTCCGAGTCAATTCGTTCGTTTCGTTCGTTAAATGAACCAAATGACTCGAAAAAAGATTTGTTCATTTTGATGAACGAGTTCGAACAGGAGAGTCACGAACGTGCATCACAGAACAGAGCAAGGCGAGCATTTGACATTATTAAACGTAAACTTTGTTATTTCTTTTTTAAATGAGCGATCGTTTCGCTTGATAAGACCCTTATTCATCATCTGGTGTCGTTTAAAGCCCTTTGAACAGTTTGCACTGAAACTGTCTTTTGGACCTTGAACCGTTTGGTGCCCAGCAAAGTGCATTATATGGAGAAAAATCCTGGAATGTTTTCATCAAAAACCTTAATTTCTTTTCGACTGAAGAAAGAAAGACGTGGACATCTTGGATGACATGGGGGTGAGTAAATTATCAGCAAAAGTTTTTTTTAAAGTGAACTAATCCTTTAATGGAGTTTCATCTGTTAATCAAACAGTCCCAGAAGTAAAAAGAAAAAACGGATGTAATTACTATATATAATAATTTTTCAAAATGCTATGTAAATATGTACCCGATCAAGGGGAATTAAAATGCAGCCTTAGTTATTAATGAGCAAAACGTTCGGATGTTAAACGCACTATTTACGCGTGGCTGGGAGCAGGTGCAGATTTCTTTCGTACCAACTAACATTTGGAAAATATGAACATTTTAATGAATCCGAAAATTTACACCAGAACCACTTTACACACGATTTACACAAAAATTAGTACTGCTCGTGTTTCATGAATGAACCCAATATGTGCAGAAAAAAAACACAACTTACAACTCTTATGTAATAAACTGCCCGGCCAGAAAAAGGTCAGTGTTTGGATTTAAATAGGCAATTGCTTAAGAGTCAACGATAGGATCATTATTGCAGTGATTATTATGTTTCTAGCATGTTATATGTTTGGCAACAGTTCTTTTAACCCTAATTGATGGAGTGTGTAGATTTTCATTTCTAAAACAACCATGTAGGAAGACTCATATAACCAAGGACTTAGTTACACTGAAAGGATTCGCAAGCGTTCAGAGCTCGCGCTGAACAAAAACATTGCTGTTTTTAGCGTATTCTGACTAACTTAAACACGTCTGATGGACATTCTCACCAACATATTTCCAATCCCTGATAAGAGACCGCTCACCCTGGGATCTGTCTCTCGTATCACACTTGACTTCTGGTCTTAAGGTCCTTGCACAGTCCGAAATGTTCGCAGGTTTAAAAATAAATATGACCTCACGTTATGTCAATCACGCTTGCACACTGCCTCCGAAACTTTCATCCGTCATTAAAAAGAAATCGGATTGGGTTCGATTTTCTGCGTTTTTCGCATTCGTAGCAAGCAGTTTGAATGGTGTTTTGACAAATTCAGAGCCACCGAATCACGAATATGAAAAACCCATACGAAAATTTCGGACTCAGTGTGCAACGGCCTTTACAGTGTACCAAACAATCATCCTGGCAAGAAGACGAACATATAACAATAGTACAGTACTAATTAGGGCTGTCACTTTACGTTCGAAAATCGATTGGACAATCGATCGGACCAACCAACTAGAGATGCACCGATTGATCGGCTGGTGACTGGAATCGGCCGATTTTCACGTGATCGGCGACCGGCCGGTCAGTCTGACATAATCCGATTTTATGCCGGTCAAATGCACTCGGGCGCCACATGATTAACATCGCGCAACATCAGCATCACACGTGCACACGGAAAGCACATTTAGGAAACCTCGTGAATTACTGCCGTTTCACACCGCAAGCGGGAGCAGAGCTTTTTTTTTTTCTTTTTTCGCCGTGCATGTTAATCAATGAGTGCATTCACACCGGGAGCCGGAGCAGCGCGTGAGCGTCGAACAGGAGCATCGCATGAGCAACAGTTTAAGTGAAAGCACACTTTTGATGGACAAAATAAATATGATTTCATCCAAAAAGTGCCCAAAATGCACAGAATTTTTTCATGTCTGGTGTGTTTTAACAAGAACTGAAGTAGGCTAGGCTATGTCAGAAAGAAAATGAAGACTCAAATATTTATAGAAAATGTACCCATTTAAACTTGTTTTTATTATTTCCCAATCATTTCCCTGCACATGCTCCACTTGTCCTGTTTAGCTTGGCTGGACATGTGTCAGATGAGAGAAGAACTGTTTGAGAAATATAACTTGCCATTGATGTAGCCTACAAGTGATTGCAATAGGCCTGTGTGTGTGTGTGTGTGAGAGAGAGAAATATCTTTATACTGCAAGGTTATTAGGGCCCAAGCCCAAAGGGCGAAGGCCCTATTGTTTTCCTTAGGATTATTTATTAGGGCCCAAGCCTTGAAAAGGCGAAGGCCCTATTGTTTTCCTTAGGATTTTTTTTTTTTTTTTTTTTTTTCTCTTTTATTTTTCTTACGACTATTCGGGCACTTTTGGGGCTCTTAACGTGCACGAAAACTCTTGAAACTTTGCACGCGGGTCAGAACCCGCGGCCATCAGGGTCGGGGTGAAGATGGTACCCGGGCGTGGCAGGGGGGCTCGACAGCGCCCCCTGGAACGGGGTCCGAAAACTTGGTCCATAAATCAAACACGCTTGTATGTAAGAATATGAAACTCGGTACACATATAGATCTCATCGGTTCATATATACTTCATGCTCTTACTTTTTACCCCAGCCCAACAGGAAGTCGGCTATTTAGGGTTGTTTGTAAAACGCATGCAATGGAATTTAAAGTACTTCTCCTAGAGAATTCAAAGAAATGCCTCGAAACTCGGTCAGCATGAAGTCAAGACATTGAGGATGAAAAATTGCGAGGGGATTTTTGATATCTCGAACGGTTTGGCCGTGGCGGGGAAACGAAATTATGGCGAGAAACGTGAAACAGGAAGTGTGTTATAACTTCTGCATACATTAACTGATCTTGATGAAACTTCACCAGTGTGTTCGCTGTAAGAGGCCGATCACATGGATGTGACTATTGTGAGTCAAAGTTATAGCGCCACCAACTGGCAGCAGGAAGTGTGTCACTTTCAAAATGCTTCGAAATCACCCTCTTATTTTAACCCAATTTGCTTCAAACTTCATCTGTATAATGTAAACATACGCCAGATGTAGACCTGTGAATGGATTCTTGATATCTTTGATACTGTTGCCGTGGCAACACATCAAACTTTAAAATTCTTTTTTGATGCTTTTGAGACTCTTAGCATGCTTGAAATTGCATGAAACTCGACAGACATGTCACATATATTAGCCAGTAGACATGTGCAAAGTTTCAGGAACGGGCGTGGTGCAGGGACTCAGTAGCGCCACCTTTTGACAAAAGTGAGAGGGTTAGTTTCATAGTTTTACCTGCAATCTTAAAACTCGGTAGGCATATTGTTCAGATCAAGCCGGACAACTTTCTAATTTACAGTTTTTGGTTCCGAACAACAGGAAGTCAGATATTTTGGTTTGAATGGGATGTTTTGGAGTAATCTCTGTCCCTCTCTCCCTCTCTCTGCATACCTCTGTGTCTGTGGGGGGAGGGGGATGTGTCTGTTTGAGTGACAAAGCTTTTAATTATTGTTGATCAAGGTTTCGGGGGCTTTTGGGGCCCTTAACATCCTCTAAAACTCTTGAAACTTTGCACACGGGTCAGAACCCGTGGCCATCAGGGCCGGACTGAAGCTGGTACCCGGGCGTGGCAGGGCGGACCGACAGCGCCCCCTGGACTGGGATTCGAACACTTGTCCATAAATCAAAGACACTTGCATGTAATAATATGAAACTGTGTACACTTATAGATCTCATTGGGTTAAACAACTTTCGTGCTCTAAGTTTTACGACATCCCAACAGGAAGCCGGCTATCATGGTTTGTTTGGAAACGCATACCCCTGAAATTCTATTTAATTCTCCTTGGGAATTGATCGGATTTCAAGCAAACTCGGTCAGCATGACGTCAAGACATTGATGATGCTAAATTCCGGAGGGATTTTTGATATCTCGAACGGTTTGGCCGTGGCGAGGAAATTAATTTTATGACTAAAAAAGGACACATAAACTGTGTTATAACTTTGCTCGTTTTACCTACAGTTACAAAACTTGCCACGCATATTGTTCTCATCAAGCCAATCGACTTTCTAATTTAAAGTCATTAGCTCAGAGCAACAGAAAGTC